TCTCGGCCCGTTTAATTGTGTTATAAATGCTTTGTTTGTCATTTTCATCGATTTCTTCAGGTGATTTTAGGAAGTCTTAAAATAGGCGAAAATTTAATTCTTTTAGAATTCATCCAAGCTATTATTCACCTCTGCAGTTGAAATGATATTAGACCAAGAAATTTATAATGAATGCTTGTCATTTACTGCCAATGTGAAGAGGTTTATCAGCTTCCCTATACTTTGACTTTGGCTTGAAATGTGGTAATATTATTAGATATACCATCTTTCCTGTTTCTTTCAGAAACAGCGCCCCTACTGTGCGATTCGAATAGTAAGACGGGCGGATGATGACGTTTCGCGCAAAGTTACGAAGTTGTGACGTGCAGAATATTTTAGTTGAATGTCTAAGACGGACACCCCGTGCTTCAGGTGTGTTGTTCTATGATCTGGCAATACCGTCCCTAGTTCGCCATTCTCCACATGTCGCTTGAAATTATTCAACCCCTTAAAAAAGAACCTGTGACTTATTTTCGCAAAAATTTTATATCTCAGTCTTAAAAATAATGAAATATCCCTAGCATGAAACAATAAACCGATGCAGAAAAAAAGGCGACATCAACGAAAATTGAAGGCTTTTGTCTTCCGGGAATATAACACCGTGTAGTCCACTGAATATTAACTAATGTTTCGGAGGAAGATATCGTCTCCATTTTCAAGGCCGAATAGTAAGCCAAGCAAGAAACCGAAATGAATCAGATAAGAAGCAAAGAAACAAAGCAGCCACCCCGATAACTTCAAATCGAAAAGAGTAACGAAAAGTTGCTGCAAGCGATTGGTTCTGATACACGCAGTGTGACCGCTCAGCCCGGCTTCTCGCTTGCGTCCCAGTAGCTTCTAATATTCACCTCTCAAGAATTAGTGTGCATTGTGTGGAGGTTGCTGAGGGATACGAATTCCCATGGCAACACTACAGTACACCTGAGCGACAGGAAACTGGTACCAGCACACCGCATCCTCTTCGGGTGTAACTGCCTCTAATTATTACCTTCATTAAATACGTTACTCAGCTGTGTTTCCTTTCCGGCCGCGAACATCTGAAATTCTTTTAACATGTGTCGACGGCCTGATTTTCTTATTCCCATGCTTCATATTCAGAAGTAAGGTATTCGCAGAAATGTAGAAGACAACTCTAATGCTGAAATAGTAGCCTGAATTGCAACTGGGTTATAACACGTGAGCAATAAATAGTGATTTTCACATCCCATTTAACCACCCTTTTGGGGCCACTTATGTGAGTACAGGACGGGAAAGGCGTGTTTTAAATTGGTATTTTAATATTCAGGTTAAATTTAGCATGTATTTGTACACAACTCGGTAGATATTCCAAATGTTTCCTTGTATATCCATAAGTGCTACATTAAACTCCAATTTTTAATAAAGTACTTGCAGGAAATGCGGTCCACCGAAGGTTCAAATATGAAGGTCGATAGCTACGTGAGTAACATACTTGAAGAAATGTGTTTAAATGAAAAGTGTACAGTCATTTGTTTTCTCTTATGAGTAGAATAAAACGTAAAAAAAGGTCTCACATTATGAAACTGCAGTTTGCACAATGATGAGGTGCAGCTTAGCCTTAATTATTGGAGTGACATAATAAGACCCATGAGACAGTAACTCGCTTTACGTCATAGCCTGCATAAAGAAAGTCTTCACTGTGGTTTCGTCATGCGCCCCAAAATTGAAAGGACCCCCAGCGCACAGAATCATGAAGGTGACCGTGACTCTTGTCCGCTAGAGGAATCTTCACCTGGAGATGATGGCTTGCCATTCAGTAGCTTCGTAATCGCCTTGCATTCATTGAATTATAAAATCATTCTGATTAGCGCAGTGGCAAGCTGCAGCCACCTGCTCACACTGGTTCCTCGCTCGAGAATTTTTCTAACCTGAAGATGGAAGCGATACGTTCCTACGAAACGTCGGTTCACACAAGGTCTACACGGCACCACACCCCAGAAGACGTCATTGTTCATAGTCACCGCTGTGAAAACTTCAAATGCTACATATTATTTACATTGTAATCGTTACTACTACTCGTAGAACGCACAATAAAACATGACAATCTTTAAGTTGGTGAATTATTTTAAAGAATGCAATAAACGCGAATCAAGCCACGTCTTGATGCCTTCAGCTCAACCCCAATGCGAATAGGCAGATCCTGCAGCCATGACTAGAGAGCAACTGGAATGAGATGTGCTGCACTCATGTGGTAAAATGTAGAACTGATTACCAAAATTGATAGTGGGCTTTATTACCTGCGGATACATCGGTGTTTAGTCCGTAATTGTACTCGGGCAGTCTCCTATCACAAATATTGTACATGACGGCAGTTGGCTTGTAATTACTGACAACTCACGTTAAATCCCATGCTTCTGATAATAAAATACATGACTAGACGGATCATTATAACTCTTTAAACTGAGAGACTGTATTCATATTGAATATAATATTGACACTATGAAAAATATGTAGTTGAGACAACGCCATTGAAAAACACAGAAATAAAAGAAACTGCTTTGAATAGCAATAGTATTAACACATTGGAAGTTCTCACACAGATTTGAAATATTTTAGGATAGGTCACTGGATTCACTTCTCTTTTATCGAGTGTCGTAAAAATACATTTTCCTGTAAGATTGTTTTTCCTAAAACCGACCTAAAATATAGTATAACATGAGTAGTCTTATGGCCTTTTTTCCTTTCATAACGGACAAATGCCTCAAATATTCGCACAGTCGACATTTAATATTTTTCAATACAAACACAGTTGTTTTTGTAGTATGTACTGTACCCACAGTATATTATGTATAAGAATGCAGGCACGTTCACAGTTTTAATATTTCCCATCATGCCATATGCGAAGGAAGTAGAGTGGTATGTTCTCCCTTGTTAGTGTGTTGCCGCTTGTCCTGAAACCCCAACAATACCAAGTGTTTGATCCAGTCCCTCAGAAGAATAGTATTTCATTCACTCGCCATCTTATTTTTTTTTTTTGTATTACACGAAAGTGACCTTAGAAAATGCATATTGTGTTAGTCACTATCATTTGCTTTTTCGTGATCAACATTGGCAGCTGTCATTGAACAAGGGGATTTACGGTGATATCGAAATGATTATCTTAAATTTATTTTTGAAAATCGTGTTTTTTTTTTCAGATGGTACATGGAGTGGTTGAACATTGGTTTTCCACGCTATGCACGAAGCAGCTGTGGTTCTTGGTTGAGGGGCCATCGGAAAGCTGTATGGGGCAGTGTATCCGAAATGGTGTTCCGTATAACCCCGGGGTTCCTCGAAGTGAAAATAAGGGTTCCGCAAGAAAAATCCATTAAAATATGAAATAATAATAATCACATAAACAGGCTAAATTCGGTGCAAGATATCAAGCCAGATCTAAAAATAATTTACGAAGAAGTACAAATTCGTGTTGAAAATTGAAAATGTGTGACACAAGAGGAAAAAAATTTGTGACGATGGTACATTAATACAAATATTAGGTTTCTGGACATTATCCATCTTCTGTTTTTATTTAAAGCACAACGTTTCGAAGGCTGGATCGGCCAAACAAGCAGAATTTTAGAAGTACGCGTTAAGCAGCACAAATATAACCTGACACAAGGTGTGATTGGAAAATAAAAATTCATCAAACATGCATATAAAGAAGGCCACAAACTTTTAGAATGAAGCGAAGGTTTTTCAGATTGAACCAAACACCACATACAGGAAATAACAAAGAATCGGCCCATATGTCTCTGCTAGACAATCCGATCTGTCAACCCAGCTTGGACATGTGTCCCAGCTGGACTCCCGTTATCACAGCAGAAGTAAAAAATCACAAATCCGTCCACTTTAGATTAAGTGGAAAAATTTGTTTTTTATATTGGTACCGTACAAAGTATTTATCTATCCAGTGATGACTTCTATTCTGATTGTACTCTAGTGCTAGACCTCATAAGTGTGGAGTCTGTTTTTAGTGTTTTTACGTTGGTGCCATACACGTAATTAATGTCTTTAGCGATGTCTTCTATTCTGATAGTACAACAATAGCTGTGAAATAATGCATGGACATAGGTTCGAGGCCTCATGTGTGTGGAGTTATTAATGTTTTTAATATTTGTCTTAACTCTCGCAAATAGTTTGTACTGTGCTTGGTTTGTATACCTTATTTGCTATTGGTGCAGGTGTTCTGAGATAAGGACTAGCTCTGTCAATAGGGCCCAACTGAGTAGGTTTTGCTTGTAGACAGAATACAGTCTTCGAAACGTTGTATTTTAAATAAAAACAATAATATTTATAATGTTCAAAAGCGTAATATTTGTGCGACACAGTATGTTTAAGTTTTATTTTTCATCGACATGAATGTTACTTTTGTTTATAAATATGTACACTTAAGTATATTGATCTCATATCCTTATTTAACATTTATTACCATCCCTACTCTTTTGTGGTCTTGCTTTTTAGCTTCGCATAAGAATTTTATTAAGTGTTCAGCAAAAATTTTTCAAGTACGAAAAGGTTTCGTGGTCAAATCAAATTGGAAAACATTGCTCTAGGGCAGTGTTTCTTAACCGCCGGGACACGGCCCGGTACCTGGCCCTGGCATCAATTATACCGGGCCCTCGGTAACATGAACACGAATTCATTCTACACGAGCAGCCGGAATGTGTCTTTCATCTTTATAATTACGCGAATTCGCACGACGTCTGCTGACAGTCATTCCAACCGTTCCGTTCGTCTTCTGTGTTCAAGCCTAACAATCCTGTACGCCTCTCTTCCTCACAAGAATTGTGCGTTTCTAGGCGTTATTTGTTCGTAAGATATTTGCCTCCTCTGCTGTAGTCTACACAGAAAATAAAACGAAATCTGTGTGCTATGTTTACGTTAGTAGCTTTTCTCTTCCCTCTGCTTTGCAATGCGGAGTGCACGTATACAAAAGAGGAAACTATCCGTGAGCAGTTGTATGCTTCATTTGTTCAGTCTGATTCACTGATAGAAAAGTGGGGTAGCCGGCCGTAGTTGAATATGACTCCGAACGTAGAGTTAATCTGATGAAGAACTGGTAATTAACAAATGTGAAAATAATATAAAAACTTTATGTCCGTTTTGTACTTTTACATGCATTGTGCCAGTGGTTTAGATTTAACTTTCACAGTGAAACTTCAAAGCGAGTGTTAAGTTATTGTGTTAAGTTATTTCTAGTAATATCAAGGTGTGCTCGCAAAATTTTTCAGTCTTTTCTGATGGTAACCGACATCTATAGTGAATGTCTGTTTCTAGGAATTGCCAGCCTTTCACCATTAGAAAATTTTTCATTATGTTTAAGGAATTGATATGAACACAGAAGACAAAGCAGCGCATTTATTAGTGTGATCTTTTTTTTTTATTGTCTCGAAGACATTTCATCTTTCGAGCATTTTGAGTGATGTGTACAATATACAGGCAGAATTAGGTGACCATCTCTTCATACGTGTACACGAATGACTTTGGGCTAGATGGTGAGTACAGAAATATATATTGTATCAATTTTCTCTTGGCGTGTGCCTGTATGTTAACATATGCGAGTTACATAATGTGTCCATATCAGACTTCGGCACCATCTAAGTAACTCTTGAGTAATTCTCTTACGTAGTTCCACCAGAACTCAGGTGGAAGTCGCTTATTTGTTTTCTTTTTCGGATTGATACTAACAAAATCCCTCACAAAGGACCTCAGGTTCCTTGTATTATTGCAACATAAAATGCACTGTGGAGAATTCTGAAACATGTCACTTTTAAATAATTTCTTTTATTGATGAAATAAATTGTTACAGGTATTCATCCATCAGTTTTAATAAAACAGCAAGTGTTGCGATAATTGAAGTGTTTTTAATATTTTGCAGTATATGTTTCCATAAGGCCGTTTGTACAAATACTACAGAAATCCCTAAAAATTGGTTTAAGAAAATGAAATCGGCAGTAATTGATATTAATTTCGACGTGGCGTCTAACACAGCGGTTTGATTTCGGCTAAGCTAACATTTATTCAGTTAGTTGGAGACTTTTATCTAATTGTCAGTCGTATTGTAGAATTAAGATTGCAAAACTATCCTCTGAAACTTGCCATAATAAGTCTCGTATCAGTTTGCCTGCAAATTGAAAACATCTGTAATATCACATATCACATCTAGCAATGAAAGTTTAAGTAATTCCATGTTGAGATGATACATAAAATATTTTCATTATTTTGATGTTACAGTGCTTAATTCCATATTCTAATATCGTTTAAATGCATAGTTATATGTGACTAAGGGGGCGGACACTTAGAATATATTCTGTTTGCTTTCCATGTACAACAGTCTTTATGGCTGTCAGTGATCTTTGATCGTAATCAATAATGTTTCGTACCAGATGAGTATTAATTATCCAGAACGTATAAATTTTGCTATACAAATATTAGAATGAGTTAATATTTGTTTGTACCATGTTTTACATCACGATAGGTCAGGTGCGTTTTCTTTTCTCATCATATCTTTAGAACATTCGGAATCATGCACGTAATTTTATGATGAACGTAGACGGAAGTAATTAATCGACGTTCACGAAACTCTGTGTGGACAACAAACTACGAGAGGCCTTCAAATTTTGATACACATTAACTTTCTGTCTTTCTCAACGAAGGTTACAATTTGGATAGTGATTGGGCAACTTTAGGTCTTAAGATTAGGCAGTTTAGGTAATGACGGAGCAGGTACACATTGAGATGACCTTTAAAAACGGCTATGCTCATATCAGATGAATGCCTGGGCAAACATGTGACTCGAAAACCTTCCACCGTTCATTCCAATGTTTTGTGTGATATTCAATCTTGTAAATTATATAATTTTATTAACATAATATTTAAAGAAAATGTAAAGAAAGGGAACAACAATATTACCAAACACTTCAGTTATATTACTGGGACTGACGAATCAAAGTAACTCTTTCGTGTGCGCGGCAAGAGGAAAATCAGGCATTCCCCCCCCCCCCCTCTGGGATTTTGGCAAAGAAAAATAAAAAAATAAAGAAATATACCATATATTAACACTATGTTTACCTTTTATAATATGTTTCTGCCATGGCTACTTTAGGGCAGTCAGTAAAAGAGTCTTAAAAGGCTTAAACGCAAGTTTCTAAGCAAATTTTCTGGCTACTTTCCCTTGAAAATCTGGCCGCACTCACGAACTTTGCATGTTAAATTCAAATGGCAACATGGCACACACACTTATACTAGTTTTACTTGTGGTAATGAGTTATAATTCTTCCGAGTCTGAATATGCAGCACGCATTGCATTTAGCAGGGTCTGCCTCTTTATACACAAGTCAAGAGTGAAGTGTATTTGGGCGTCAGGATTATTTCATTTGCAGTTCGCAAAGTTATCACGACGGGAGACATGTGTTAATTCGTTTGGCGGTGGGGTTAGAGTGCTTCTGAAAAGCATGCATTTGCTGATGTTAAAATATGCATAGCACAGCCGTTCCACTGATATATAAAGCCGTATTTTTTTGTAAATAGCCAGGCTATGATTCATTTAACTTAGAAAAATGTTGGGTATTTAAAAACGCAGGTGCAAATATTTTATGTTGAAAGTTTTTTTCTTGTTAATAATAAACCCGCCTGCCTACTTTTGCCATATATTTTTAAATATATACAACCAGACACAGGCGTACGCATTTTGTCTCCAGCTAAAATCTGGAATATTTCCATGACCTTCGCTTTCGTACCATTTTCAGTTCATCATTCAAGTCATCTTGCCATTCGCTTTTACATAACCGACGAGGTTGGTAAAGCGTCTTTAAATAAATAAACTGTCATGGCATACAGTATACACATCTTTAGAGACGTATAGACAATGCGTATAAGAGCATAACTTACATTAATGATGAGTTATGAATGATAGGTACTTTACAGAATTCCTTTCGTCTGACAGTTTACCACAAGCATTAGCTTCAACTTCGTGTAAGGAGTTACATTACAGTGTGTTCTTCACACGGTAATAACTTAGACCTGTAAAATGTTGACAGTAACATCGTCGAATTATTTTATATTGTCATATGTTGAGTGATAAGACACGATGTTTGGATTGGTAATTGGATTTACTGAACTCTTAAAACTCGTAAATACACTCAGTTATAGAGGAATCGACAATTCACATTTTTACGGTTCATTATATCACGCACTAAGTCTTCTGAGTCGGATTATCTTCACCTATTGTCGCCTGCTAACGGCTCCCAACGCCAACAGATTTGTTTTTTCAACTGAACCCTTGTAGCCATAGCCCATATTTCTTTTATTGTTTATTTTATTTTACAATCTGCTCAATATACATAAATAGAGTAATTAGTAAAAGGGATGGGTGTGTGTAATATTGAAGCAGGTATCATCCTCCGATGATTCTTTGGTGCTTATCTAATGAGATCCTCTGGCGACATTCTGTTTAGTCTTCTTTCTATTGCTGGTTGCTTGAAGAGGTTTCTTATTGGTTGGTTGTTGTTTTGGGTGGTCCGGTTCTTGTGTTTCTCCGCGTATGCTCTGATGACTTCTGTTACATATGGTATGCTTAGGCCATATGTAACATCTTCTCTGACAAGCAGATGGGTTTGTTTGTTTGTTGTGAGGATGTTTGGCCTTCGTTCAGATGTATCGCACATATAGCATGTTGTTGAAGATTCTTCCTTTTGCTCTATATACGTGCATCTCCTCTGTTAGTGTTGGCTTTGCAAAGCAGATCATGCCTATCTTACGTATGTTATGCTACAACGGCTGCTTAATCTCTTGAACGGTCATCCACCGCCAAGATTAAGCCTCATATATTCTCTACGTCTGGCTACGCCTTGATCTATGTTGCGAAAATGTTCATTCTCATGATTTTGTGTGACTTCTTGCTGCCTTTACAATTTTGTTATATAATCATTTACATACGGAAGGTTGAGAGCCGTGTGCAAGTCGTGGACTGGTGTTCACCTTGGAAAAGTTCCAATGGTGCGGAGAACCGTGTTTTGTAGGCGCTGCAAATTTAAGAGACTTTTCAAAGCAAGTCAAAGTCACATTGTGACTGACGGTCAGTCAGTTAATCAGTCAGTCTTGGTGTCGAGCCCCATCTGGGCTTATGAGCAGATATTTGTTACTGTTTGACAGTTCTGCCCCTTGTGAGGCGCCCTTTCTGAGGAGTGGACAGGTCTATCTTGAATTCTTCAAAGCTCCAATTCGGTTCCCGGCATGTAGCCTCGGGGCGGATCCCACAGAAAACACCGCCTACAACAGTTCCTCTATTGAAGAAAGCAGTCTTCTGGGATGTGGTGCCGTGTAGATATTGTGTTAACCGCCTCCATCTTCAGGGTAGAAGAAAAAGAAGAAAATCCGCAAGCGAAGAACCAGCGTGATCATGCGCAAATAATGTCGAAGTCCCAGAAGACTACTTTCTTCATAGTCCCCTGCGTGAAAACCTCAAATCCTACACAGATACTCTATTGTGACATGCGTAGCTGTTTCTATTGTGACATAAATTAGGTATTTTATGTCGACGTGATTGTTACCGACTTTGCATAGCAACGAATGCTCTCTTAATAGCGACATCGTATGTTTATCCTGCTGTAACATAACAATGGACATTTCTTCTCGCTCCAGAATATTCGCGTAAATTCCTGCATTCTTCCGTATATTTTTATATAGCCCCTGATGGTTGTGCATCCGAAAGTTTGGTATTGAAACCAGTTTGCTACTTGTTAATATTTAATCCACAAAATGAGTTAAACTTTTTTTTTTTAAATTAGGTATTTTATGTCGTGTAGTTCTTTTTTGTGTTCTATTTCTTGTTTTTATCAGCGATTTGTATTTCGTGGATGGTATTTTGGTTACATTTTCGTTCCGGTCGCCAGTGTATATGGACAACCTTATGTTATTTATATGACGTTTTATTAGGTTTCCATTCCGGTATATAAAAGACGTGTCCTGAGAAAGGAAAAACACGAGTAACTGGCCTCCAGTTTGAAGAATGAGCCTTCCTTATATGAGGAACTAACATAAAGAACTATACGACTAAAGTATCACAGAATATCGCTCAGGGGATATGAATTACGTCTAACCGTTGCCACATTTCGTTGCATTTCCGAATGCATGTCAACTTGTGGCTCGAAACACTGTGCATGGAGCCCACTGTTATTCAACTTGAAGTAACTGAGGAGCACAGATTAAATGCATACCTCTTCTCTATAAGATCTCAGTCAACTCTGTGTTCCACTTCTTGCCGTCCGTGTACAACTTCAATTTATATTCACACGCCTTCCTCTCTTTATTACACGTATATACCACTACAAGTTTCGGTAGCATAGTTGGTTGAAGCACTATATTACAAGCCGGAAGATCATGGGTTCGATTGCCGATGATGTCATTAGATTTTCCAATTTACCTAATCCTTCCAGCCTCACTATGGCGCTACGGTCAACTGAACCTCTAAAAGAAATGGGTATCAGGAATCTTC